AATTTAAATGGGAAGACTTATAATTAAGTCGTCCAGATTTGTTTGTTAAAAAAAAACACCAGACGACTTATAATTAAGTCGTCTGGATAAACTGGGTTACTTTTGCATTTGACCGAAATGTGTCAGATACTTGACTTTTTCTGGACGACTTACAATTAAGTCGTCTCTGGGAAAGTTAAATATCATTATTTTATTAAATATAGACGACTTACGGATAAGTCTTCTCAGGTTAGTTTTGCAATTCAAAAATAAAACTTAAATTTTTAACGTCCCCCAGACGACTTAATTGAAAGTCGTCCGAGCAGACGACTTATGTTAAAGTCGTCCAGGATAAGCAAGGTTTGACCAGAAAACTCGCAAAAAATTCTGGACGACTTTACTTATCCTGGAGGACTTTAAAATAAGTCGTCCGGTCGGACGACCTTCAGTTAAGTCGTCTGGGAGAAGTTAAAGATTTAAGTTTTATTTTTGAATTACAAAACTAACCTGAGACGACTTATCCGTAAGTCATCTAGATTTAATAAAATATTGATATTTTAACTTTCCCAGAGAAGACTTAACTGTAAGTCGTCCAGAAAAAGTCAAGTATCTGACACATTTCGGTCAAATGCAAAAGTAACCCAGTTTATCCAGACGACTTAATTATAAGTCGTCTGATGTTTTTTTTTTAAACAAACAAATCTGGATAACTTAGAAGTAAGTCGTCCATTTGACCAGAAGACTTATCCTTAAGTCTTCTACATCCAGATGACTTACGGGTAAGTCTTCTAGGTGAACAGATCTGGAAAAAAAATTCAATTTCATACCTTAAACTAGGTGAGATGACTTTCTTTGCACACAGAGTCTTCTCCAACCACCCAGAACATCAAACGAAAGTAACCCACCAAGAAATGTATGCTTAAATGGCTATATCAACTATAAAAAATTTGCTATCAAAAGCTTGGGTTTTTGGTATGAATATGGAGACAAAGTGAAGGAGATGTTGTTTTTAGTTCATAACAATTGAGAAAGAGAGTATGGATATCGATTTTAAGTGCATTAAAAGCTTCAAACCTTGGTTGTACAAGGTTGTTGGGAGTATTCATGGCAATGGCAATGTTGTAAATACTTGAAGATAATGAGGTTGAGAGAGTAAAAATGCTATTTTCGAAAAAAAATTCAAAAAACATTTAAATGGCATTTTCGTAAATAAAATGAAGATGTGGGGTGAATAGGACAAAAACAAGATGAGTCAAAAGAAGAGGTTAGTTTTGTGTTTGACTTGGAGTTTTGAGTCAAATTTGCAAAAAGTCCTTGAAGAATCAACCTCAATATAATCTTTTACAAATTATGTTTCAAAATTTTGTTACAATTTTGTTTTCAAATATGCTTTTGTTTACGATTTTTGAAAAGTAAAAGTTTGAAAAATACTATTAAATAATTTTAAAAGATACTTTTTATTAATAAATAAATTTTTAATTTACTCTTATAATTAATTGATTGGGTAGCCGAGAACCATAATCTTTCTTATGAACAGCTTCCACGACGATATATAGGGATCAACTTTCTTTGGCATCTTTGCCCCCTGCCCTCCAAACAGTATGGGAGCCTTTCTATTCGTTAATATTATCTTATTATATATATATATATATAACTTTTATATAATTTATTACATGTCACAATATTAAAAGAAAAATTAGTAACAAATAATCTTTTACAATTATTTTTTGTTTAAGATTTTAAAAATGGAAAACTAATACTAGATAATAATTATAATTAATAAATATATAATTTTCATATGTTACAATCATGTTAATTAGCAACTTTTAAGAATCAAGCTCAGTATATTTTTTACAAATTATTTTTCAAAATCTTTTAAACTCTTTTCAAGTTTTTTTTTGTTTAGATTGTAAGAAGTAAAATTTCTATAATATATTATTAAATAATTTTTAAAGTTACTTTTTACTAATAAATAAATTTTAAATTTACTTTTTCAAAATTCGTTTTTATTATCTTATTATATATATTTAATTATTATATATTTTGACACATGTCACAATATTAAAAGGGAAATTACTATCAAATAATCTTTTACAATTATCTTTTGTTTAGAGTTTTAAAAAAGGAAAATTAGTATTAGATAAAAATTATAAAAGATTTTTTAAACAAAAATTATTTTTGTTATTATCTTAGTATATATATTTTTAATTATGAGATAAATTAACACATGTCACAATCTTAAACACATAATTACCATGTGTCGCGATCATGTTAATTAGTAATTATGAAAAATCAAATTTTATATAATAAGATATTCTCGCGTTTTAAAAACGCGGATCATAAACTAATATATAGAACATAATGATACTTAATAAGAACATTTTCCAATTATTATAATTTAATATTTTGTCAATATTTATCTTTGTCTATGAATTCAATACAGAAAATTACCGAGTAAATTAATAAAATATATGTTTCCGTAATATTTTAAAGAAAAGCTTAGCTAAATACGAGAAAACCTTTTATATAAGGGAAAATGTTTGCTAGCTACACGAAGTATATTATATTATGGTAGTAATCATCCAATGTTTACAAATTTATACTATTATTTGCGAAGTGATTTTTCGCAACGGAGCTCTCACGTTAAAAGTTAGAGCGGTTAATATCGTTTATACCCTTAATGAATAATTAAAAATTTCAATATATAATTAAACATAAATAAAAAACGAATTTCAATTGATTTTAGATTTATCTTTATCTAAAACTATTAAACATAAATAAAAACGAATTTCAATTGATTTTAGATTTATCTTTATCTAAAACTATTTTATATTGGGTTATAAAGTCTTTATTAACCTTGAAAAATAATTATATTTGTTAATATATAATTAATTATAAATTAAAAAGAATTTCATTTATTTGATAATTATCCTTATTTAAAAAAAATGGTATTATGTTTATCAACCTTGAAAAATAATTATATTTGTTAATATATAATTAATTCTAAATTAAAAACGAATTTCATGAATTTGATAATTATCCTTATCTAACTTTTTATATTATGTTTTAAAGTCTTTATTAACCTTAAAAATAATTATATTTGTTAATATATATTTGATTATGAAAAATCAATTTGCAAAGAATATATGTATAGATAATTTATATTGTGTTATCCAAAACATTACTAAAGTTAATTTTATTATATTTCTTTTTGTTATGTCTAGAAAACATATTAATTTATTACTAAATATTTTAAATTTATGAGAATTTCACATTTAATTTGTGCAATGATAATTATTTATATGATGATGAAAATTTTTATATATATAAAGAATCTGTTTGGATTATTATTAAATGTTTTGAGTGTATGCACAATAATTTATTATAATTTACTTAAATTGATTATATATTTGTTTATAGATATTAGTAAAATTATTAAGCCCGCAGGTGCGGGCAAAACACCTAATATGTTAATAACTACACGACGTTTATATTAATACATGCCACATCCACAAATTAAGATTTAATATGGTGCCAACATCATAATTAGATTAAATCGATTGTAAGCGTAGTTAATGGGGTCAATTAGTAATTTTTAAAAATCTAAACCCGTTTTAGGCAATATCTGACCACACTTAACACATAAACGGATTCGACATCACTTTCCCAATTATTCCCAATTCGTTTTCATTAGGGTTAAGAGATGAAAATGACAAGCTAAGCTTTTTTAATGTAATACAAGCTATTTTGTGTCTAATGGAACTGATGGAATGACAAAATTACCATTCATTACTCAAGCATTAAGGTTGAAACATTACAAAGTACAAACTACAAAGAAACATCCATATGACGTTTTACAACATTACAAAGAAGACAAATAGAACACTATCATAGCTTAAGAAAACTGTTGATGATGTCTTCTTTTACCTCTTCTTTTCTGATTATCTCACTGCGAAGTTCTGAAACAACCTTCTTCAATTGTTTTGTTTTTCTCACGAATCTCATCTCTAGCTTCAACTAGAGCTCTCTTTTGCCATCCGTATGCTTCTCCCTCATCAAACCATTGAAAAAACTTGCATTCACCTCCACGCTTGTAACGCTCACAGCCATAGAACTTCCGACCCGGATTTTTATCAGTCCAAGCTTGAGATATCTTTGCCGGTAACCCACAAAAACAGAGCACTTTACCTTCACTCCATAATTATCTCTCTCTCTCTCTCTCTCTCTCTCTCTCTCTCTCTTTCTCTCTCTCTCTCTCTCTCTCTCTCTCTCTCTCTCTCTCTCTCTCTCTCTCTCTTTGTGTGTTTGAAAACGCCTCAAGAACCCTAACTAAATCGAATAAGGGATGGGAAGCTATGAGGTGGGTTTTTTTTTGTTTTTTTTTTGTTTACTGGAGTCTAGATTTTTAAAAATTACTAATTGACCCCATTAACTACGATTACAATCAATTTAGTCTAATTATGATGTTGGCACCATATTAAATCTTAATTTGCAGATGTAGCATGTATTAATATAAACGTCGTGTAGTTATTAACATATTTGTAAACATTGGATGGTTACCACCATAATATACTATACTTCGTGTAACTGGCACATTCTTAAACATATAATACATGTGTCGCGATCATGTTAATTAGTAATTTTGAAAAATCAAATTTTAAAAAATAAGATATTCTCGCGTTTTAAAAACGCGGATCAGAAACTAATATATAGAACATAATGATACTTAATAAGAACATTTGCCAATTATTATAATTTAATATTTTGTCAATATTTATCTTTGTCTATGAATTGAATACAGAAAATTACCGAGTAAATTAATAAAATATATGTTTTCGGTATATTTTAAAGAAAAAGCTTAGCTAATTACGAGAAAGACCTTTTATATAAAAAAGACTGTGGACTCCAAATAAATCTCTGCGGGTATTTCCGTCGAATTAAAAAAACACAGGGATGAGAGGCGTAGCACCAATAAACCCTGAGAAGAAGATGGAATGTTCCGTCAAAGAATCAGAGTAACCTAATTACCTAATTCTTCGTCCATTACTCTTTGATGTAATCTACTTCTGTTTCTGTGTCTGAAAATTTTCGATTCGATTTTATCTGGTTCGAACTGTAGTTACTACGAAGGCGAACGTCTAACTCATCTTCTCGGCTTGGTTCAAAGGTAACCCACTCTAAACCCTAAAAGCAAAAGAAAAACATTACTAATCTCTATTTGTTAACTTGTCGGAATATTCGGAACTTAAAAGAGGAATTGAAACGTCCAAGACCTCGAATGTGAACTCATTGCCTGACAAGATATGGCTAAAGGTAAGTTACTACTTCAAAACTCTTGCTATGGTTTTTGTTTCTCTCTCTGAAGATCCGTTTTGATTGAATCAGAAACAAATAGCGATTGGGATCAACGAAGTCACGCGTGTTCTTGAGAGGATGAAACCAAACCCTAACGACACTAAACAACCTCCGGTTCAACTTCAGGTACACACCCTAACACTCTCATAACTAGTTGGGATTGTTGTGTAAAGGAAAAGTCTTTTAGTGTTTTGTTTTCCATCACAGGTAGTGATAGTCGTAGCAGATTGTAAACCGAGGATCCTAACCAAGCATATACCAAACTTAGCTGCTTCAAGGAACGTCCCTGTTCTCTATATCAGAGACAACAAACGAGCCTCTCTCAGATTAGGAGAGTTAGTCAAGCTCAAGACAGCTCTAGCTATTGGCGTCAAGGCGAGAGGGACCGATCTCAACCTATTACTCCAACAGATTCTTCCCAAGAGATAGATACTTCTTGATCTGGTTTTTGTTTTGTCTCTTTCTCAGTTTGTTTGTTATATACATTATAAATAAGGTTGACAAACAAATTCTAGAGATTCCCAGTTTTGGTCCATGTATCCAAAAAGGTATTTGCTACTGTTACCCACTCTTAGGCACTAGCAACTGAGGATGGCTCATCTGCAACGCCAACTTGAATAGACTTATCCACTTGTTTGCTTGGTTTCCCGTTCTGAGACTTCTTGTCTTGGTCCTTCTTTACCATCACTGGTTGAAACTGTTGAGAAAATACAAAGTGATTAAAAAAAGTGAACCGTTGAAACTGTTGAGAAAAAAAAAAGTGATTAAAAAAAGTGAACCAGTATCTGTATATGCCAAAGAGTTTGAACTGATCAAGAGAACCTGATATATGGAGTATATAACGTTTCTTCGTATTTGGGCCATCATTTCCAGAAATAGATTGTATCCTTCGAGCTTATACTCGATGAGTGGATCACGTTGCGCATATCCTCTAAGCCCTACAGCTTGTTGAACGAACTTGAGTGCTTGAAGGTGTTCTTTCCATAACCGATCTATATTGCTCAAGATCAAGAAACGTTCCGCATCTTTCATTAGCCCTGGTGCTTCTTTCTCCACTATTTCCTGATTAATCAAAAAACAAAGCTAAACAACACAGCTTCTGGGGAGATGAAAAGGTTTAGAACCATATTAAACTTACTCTTTTCTGCAAGTATGCATCGCGGCCACGGGCACGGAGGTAATCTTGCAATCCCTCGTAACTTGATCCTTGGCTTCTCAGCAAATCTGGAGTGAGATCATTCAACAGATAACAGTACCTGATAGAGATTGGAATATAAGTGAATGTATCTGAAAGAAGTGTTTTCTCTTCTCTAAAGAGAAATATAACTCTTACTGCTGAACTTTTGCGATGAGCTTTTCAAGATCCCAGCTCTCTTTTGGAGTATCCGGGCCAATATTCGCCTATTAAATGGAATAAAAACAGATTTAGGGAATAAAAGAACTTGTTTTACTGGCATCAGTTTCAAATGGTTTACCTCTAGAATGTCATCCATTGTTAATTCAGCATACTCGATAATCAGAGGCTCAAGGCTGTCTGACACAAGAGCACGCCTTCTCTCTGTGTAAACACGATCTCTTTGGCTATTGAGAACCTCGTCAAATTCGAATAATTGCTTTCTGATGTCAAAGAAGTAGTTCTCCACTTTCCTCTGAGCTTCATCTAGAGCTTTAGTAAGCATCTTGGATTCGATGGGTAAGTCTTCAACCCTGAAAGCCCTCATCATACCCTAAGAGTTGAATAGCAACTACATTTACGTGAATATTCTCAAGAAGAATGAACATATTGTAGATATAAAGAGTCACCTGGATTCGATCTCCCCCAAAGATGCGGAATATGTTATCTTCAAGACTAAGGAAGAATCGAGAACTTCCAGGATCCCCTTGCCGGCCACTTCGCCCACGCAACTGTATGACAACGGCAACAAAGTTACAAATTCTAGAATAATTATCCCACAGGAGAAAGGAAACTAAATCTTTTTTGCAACAAACATTTTAAAGAACCTGATTGTCTATTCGGCGTGATTCATGCCTCTCTGTCCCCACCACGTGAAGTCCACCAGCTTCCACAACCTGCAGCAGTTCAGGACAAAAAATGATCAACAAGAGACACTTGAAGGAGATTCACATACTGAGCCAACCTTTTTCCTTTCTTCATCTGTGAAGCCCTTATACTCTTTCGCTATCTCTAGAAACGCATTCCTTAGTTTACCAATGACTTCATCCTGGACAGGACCCTGTGGGAATGGGAAAAGATCGATGACTAAGATGGTTCTATTTTATCATATTAAGATAAAGTTCTAGGGTTTCTCAGTTGTTCACCTTTTCACAAGAGTAAGACAGACGTTCCTCTGCTTCAAGCTCAGTTAACGATTTCTGGCCCCAAGCCTCTACAGCTGATTGTACTGCTTCCTCAGCTAGCTTCACTTTCTCATTTGACAATTTGCATGGAAATAACTTCTCATTCACCTGCAAAAGTAAAGCTCAGTGTAAGTATAACCATTAGAATCCCATGCTTATATCAAAACAAGAGACGCTGAAAAAGTCAAACCTTCCACGTCCTCTTGGGAGGGGCCTTCTTCACAGATACGAAAACACCATCAGTAGGCTTCACCACTCTGTAGCAACAGTCAAAATGTAATTATACCAAGGGTGGATAAAGGACCGATCTAATGTGCACAAAATGTACTGTTGAAGGCTTAAAATCACGCTTACAGTACTATTAAATCTTAACTAACATCTTAGAATGCTATAATACCTGGGCATGAGTATCTCACGGAGCTTCAAACGTGCCATAAACTCTGCGTTTCCACCGAGAATTATGTCTGTCCCACGCCCGGCCATATTTGTGGCAATTGTTACAGCCCCTAAACGACCACTTTGTGCTACAATTTCAGCTTCCCTCTCCACGTTTTCTGGTTTTGCATTGAGGACCTTTTTTGTACAGCATATATATAACAATCTGTCAGTTTTCTAGTAAAGGGAATATCATCTGTTTCAATTTTACAAACTGGTTGTCTATACATATGCATCATTTTTTTTAGATTCCATTGTTATCTTGGATTAAATACTAATGGAGCATAAACTTTGGATTTATTTCTGCACAGATACACGCCAAATAAGGTTTCTCAAAATAACATGGAAGCTTTACCTCATGAGTTATTCCAGCTTCCTGCAAAAGTTGCGAAAGCTCGTCACTCTGCTCAACGCTGGTTGTACCAACTAGCACAGCCCTACCAGTCTTATGCATTCTTGCAATCTCCACTACCACTGCCCGCCATTTGCCATTAACTGCCTTGAAAACCACATCTGACTCATCCTGAAAGTGATTTAACAAGAAAAGATGAGACCATTTGGTTTGAAAAGAAAAAACACCAAAATTACTAGTACATCATAAAGGTGCTTTCAGAAAATGCATGGTTAACACCTTATTGTTTCAATAGATTTCAGAACTAACATGAATACATACAAACGTGCAATTTAGGAGGACCAATTCCAAAGCACCACCAGTTTTGAGGTGCAAGTTCAGAACATAAGATACGAAACAAACCTTTCTTATCATCGGCTTATTTGTGGGTACAATTGTAGTTTTCAGCTTGTATATGCTCTCAAATTCTGCACTTTCGGTCGATGCGGTACCAGTCATCCCGCAAAGTTTTGGGAACTATATCACAGCAGAAGCTAAAGCATTACGATCTCGAGGTAACTTTATTCAAAATGTTGAAAGTAGGTATTACCAACCTGAAGAAAGAAATTTTGATAACTAATCGATGCCAGTGTAATAGATTCATTCTGAATTGGCAAGCCTTCTTTTGCTTCAACTGCTTGATGTAGTCCGTCACTCCAACGTCTTCCCTGCAGAAGAGACAACTTGTTCAGTGGGTTACTACTACGTACTGTTTCTTTTTTCTCTATGTTCTTCTCTTGGCCTGAGAATTTTTTTCTCAGCCGTAGTCACTAGGATCACTAAAATGATCAATTAGCAAATGATGCACACAACTAAATACCTGCATTACACGACCAGTAAACTCATCCACGATAAGAACCTCCTTAGTTCGGATGATATAGTTCACATCTCTGAGAAAAAGTTCTTTTGCCTTAATGGCATTAAGAAGATATGATGCCCATTGTTCACGAGGATCATACAAATCTTTCACGTCCAGGATTTCTTCTGCATCTTCATAACCCTGCTCTGTTAGTAAAACAGTCTTCTGCTTTTCATCAACCTGCAACACTAGAGCAGTTAGAATCTGGAAGATGAATGGCCAAATCCACCTATTAATTTCACACAACATAATAATTAACTGAACGAGTCTTACAGTATAATGTATATCGCGCTCAAAGGCTGAAGCAATTTTTGCAGCTTTGTAGTATTGCTCACTAGGTTTCTCTGCAGGCCCAGAGATAATGAGAGGAGTCCTTGCCTCATCAATAAGAATGGAATCAACTTCATCAATTACACAATAGTTGAAATCCCTCAAGACGAGCTCCTCCACACTCTGCACATTCAGTAACTAACTACTCAGCAAAGGCATTCAAAGAAAACTCGTAACATACAGAAACAAAAGAGAAAATAAAGCAAGAATTACTTTCCGTGGCAAGATTATCTCTCAGATAGTCGAATCCAAGCTCACTGTTTGTGACATATGTGATGTCGCATAAATAGTTTTCCTTTCTTTGTTCAGGTGTCATATTCTCTGACAAAGTAACACGTTAATTTTATTTACCTATCAATGAACTAAAGAAAGAGAGTTCAGAGGAAGAGACATACGTTGGATCAAACCAACCTTCAATCCAAGGAAGCGAGGAACTTGACCAACCCATTCACAATCTCTACGAGCAAGATAATCATTAACTGTAACCACATGAACACCTTTCCCACTTAACGCATTCAGATAGGCAGGTAAAATGGCTACAAGAGTTTTCCCTTCACCAGTTCTCATCTCTGCTATCTCTCCTTTATGAAGGACCATACCACCTGCATATTAACCCAAAACATAGAGTTGAAATCTGTTATAACAGATGCTGAAAAACAATTAATAAATACGATAAACAAATAGACATGGTTCACCAAATCGGTTCGATTATTGGAAACTATTTCAGTTTTCAGAGTACAAATAGGAAAATAATTAAATAAATAAGAGTATTCCCCGTCCTAAAACCTTCTCGGTTTCGGACTCAGTGGAATAAATGTGACTAAACAGAATACTGTGGCGCATATAAGACCATTTCCAATGTATTTTGCTATTTTCTCTTCTTAAATAGAGAATCTCTATAATACAGATAAAGTTTGCTCCAATTGTATTTCTTCTACAATATCATTGGGTCTAATATGGAGTAAAAATAGAGATTGCCATATCTTCCCCTACATATAAAAATAGCAATGGGTTGGAGACGCTCTAAGAGTGACCCTATATTGTTTGGGCCGGGGGATTTTCTCCACCCCTTGACCCGGACCAAGGTGAAGTTGTTCCCCTAGACCATTAACTCCGGGCAGCAAGATCTCTGTACTGACTAATGCTACCGGTTAACATATCAAAAGACTATCAGTGATCTTGAAACAGTGACAGTCCACAGAGATTGTGTTTTACCTATTAATTGCACATCGAAAGGTCGAAGTCCAAGGACTCTCTTGGAAGCTTCTCTCACAACAGCAAAGGCTTCCTAAAAATCAGAAACTCCACAATTTAAAAAAAAAACAATTTAATGTCAAAACAAGAAAGAATTAAAAAAAAAAAATAGTTACAGGGAGAAGTGAATCCATGGATTCTCCTTGTTGAGCGCGTTGCTTCAACTTATCAGTCCTCCCACGCAAATCCGAATCGGAAAGAGACGAAATCTCCGTCTCCAACCGATTAACGGAAGCTACAATCGCTGCGTACTGTTGCCTCGTGGACTCTCCGTTATCAGAACCTTTGAAAATCCCGCTGAGAAGGCCACTTAATGAAGCTTTTACACTCGTGCTGCTCCTCATCCGAAGAGGAGAGGAGCTACTACTACTTCTACCACCACATCCTGATAAACCTAATTTGATTCCGTTTCCGAGTTTTGCGCCAAAGAAAGGGGAAGAGGTGAGAAGACGATTATGGCGGAGGAATTTTTGGTTGGCGATCACGGAATGAGGAGGTGTAGGTGAGATCGTAGGGCGGTGGTTTAGTAATTGAGAGTCGCAGAGTGGTGACACCATATTGCGAAGGTGAGCCGGGAGAATTTCCGGCGCGGGGGGGGGGACAATGGTCCGGCGAGGAGAGAACTTTGGTTAACGGGTTTCGTGTGTCGTCGAGTGAAGAGCACGAGAGGGAGAGAGAGAGAGAGAGAGAGAATTGAGACGTTGAGGATAAGGTGAAGGAAATTACATTTGTGCCACCAAACCCGATTTCTGGTGGATAACCTTCCGTGTGCCACGTCATCGAGCTTTTTTTTTTCAGCCACGTCATCGAGCTTCTATCATTCTTTCTAGCTGCTACGTACATATAAATTTCATGACCTTATTTTACAAAAATAATATGATAATTTTTTCCTTTTGTTTTTTTGAGAACTATTTTTTTTCATTTTTCCAAATTTTATATCAACTAAGTCATATTTTTGTCAAAACATTTAGAGTATTTGCATCCCATATACAAACTAAACCCTTAAATTAACTATCTACCATTTTTCTCTCTTATCTCTCCTTCCCCCCTCTCACTATTTTTCCTTCAAAACCATAGCATATTGCTAATATCCAAGTTTTTTTATGTATTTTCAGCCAATTCACCCAAGAGTATTTTTATAACTTATTCCTATGGTTGGAATAAGTTATAAAAATATTATTTTTCCTCCAATTTTTATGTTTAAATTTTTTTTTTTTTGATTAATCTGGGGTTATCCTAAACCCATGAAGAAGCCTAAACTGATCCCCAAGAGAAGGTGCAGCCCACGGATAGACCCTCTCTTCGGATATTCAAATGGACCCTAAAGCATAGATCCATATCCGTGTTAGATGACCAGAATAATTGTGACTTAGTTTCGCGCAACAGATGGATCAAACCTGAAATATGTCGGTGTCTCAGCCCGTCTCCTTACCACTCGACCATAATCACCCGATCAAACAGCCCTGTCTCCTTATTTTTAAATTATTGATTTACAGATTTCTCGTTTAATTTCATTTTCTATGTTTTGAAAGAATTTATGAATATATATTTGTTTCTCCAATTTTTATGATAAAAACTTTTAATTTAAAAGTAAATTAGATAAATCTTAATTTTTTTGTTTATGAAAATATATCCCTTGTAGATAAGACTATTACTCTATTATGGATATAATTATCCGATGAACTCCTAGTAAACAAATTGACTCGAGTAGAATGCTAACCTTGTTTTCTGAGCGTTACCATTGGTATTGTAGAATCAGAACCAGAAAACTGTCTAAACTAAAACCAAACGTAGTAGTAATGAAAGTGAATCCAATGTTCAGTATACTGACTACAGTTTGAAGTTATCATCGGTGTCATACAAAACTCTTACAGACAAAATATTAAGATTTGATTACATGTGTCATGTAGTGGCCCTGAACAAACAATCAGCACTCTACTATATCCGTCAGACTTCATAAATGGATACAGCGATGAGATGTAAGTGGTAGCTTGGTCGGCATATCTACTACCGGTATGAGTCTTTAGCACTTGTCAACGACTACACCTCGTAATCTTTGGCAATTATCAAGAAGAGAGAACAAAAACATCATAAAGATCAGACAAACCAGAAACTTTAATTCCAAAAATACAGAAAATAAAAACCCAAAACAGAGGCGTAAATTATTGCAGATGTTTTTTAAAGGTGGAAAAGGATAAAAACAAGCATAGAAATTATAGAAATCATAACAATAATAATAATAAGAATCTTAAGCCTGAGGTTTGTCCCACTTGAGTGGCTTCACGACCTCCCAGGTGAAGTCAGGGTCGTCTCTTCCGAAATGTCCATACGCCGCCGTTTTCAAAAACCTTCCATTGCCTCCTCTCTTCAAGTCCAAGTTGATCGTCATCATCCCTGGTCTGAAATCGAAGCTCTCCTTCACGATCTTCAGTATCTCCTTGTCTGGAATCAACCCTGTTCCGTATGTGTCCACGAACACAGACAACGGCTCGGGAACTCCAATGGCGTACGAGACCTGAACAAGAGCTCTACGAGCCATTCCATTAGCAACCACGCTCTTGGCGGCTTGCCTCACGATGTAAGCTCCACTTCTGTCCACTTTGGTCGGATCTTTCCCTGAGAAAGCACCTCCTCCGTGAGCTCCCCATCCTCCGTACGTGTCGATGATGATCTTACGTCCGGTTAAACCGGCGTCACCGTGTGGTCCACCGATCACGAACCGGCCTGATGGGTTGAGGTGGAAGATGGTTTTGTCATCAAGGTACTTCTCTGGGATGATTGGTTTGATCACGTGCTCCTTGAGGTCACGTGCGATTTCCTCGTTGGTCACGGTCTCGTCATGCTGGGTTGAGATAAGGACGGTGTGGACACGGACTGGAACCATGGCGCCGTTGTCGTTGTAGTACTCGACAGTGACTTGGGTCTTGCCGTCTGGTCTCAACCAACGGCAAGTTCCGTTCTTTCTCACTTCAGTAAGTTTAGCACCGATCTTGGTCGCAAGGACGTGGCTCAGAGGCATGAGCTCAGGGGTCTCATCAGTAGCGTAACCAAACATGTGACCTTGGTCACCAGCTCCAATGTCTTCTGGTCGCTTGGTGAAGTGACCGTGAACACCTTGAGCAATGTCTGGGCTCTGCTGCTCGATGTTGACAAGGACTTTGCATTTGTCAGCGTCGAGACCAACATCATCAGAGATGAACCCAATGGAGCGGCAAGTGTCACGGACGATCTTCTCGTAGTCGACAGTGGCCTTGGTGGTGATCTCACCGAAGACCATGACCATGTTGGTCTTGGTGCAAGTCTCACAAGCGACTTTGCTGTCGGGGTCTTGCTCGAGGCAGGCGTCGAGGACTGCGTCAGAGATCTGGTCGCAAAGCTTGTCTGGGTGTCCTTCGTTCACGGACTCAGATGTGAATAGGAAAGTCTCCATTTCTCAAAGCTAATAAACAACATGAGAAAAAGTGAATCAGCAACCTTTTTTTATATAACTAGAAAAAGTCCAAAAAAAAACATATCTTGAAACCTTTTTAAAAGTTAAAAAAGAATCATTTGATTCGACATCACTCAAGTGGCACAAAGATAAAGAGATTCCAAATCATTGCTCAGCAAAACAGAATAAAACAGATGCATCTTATCCTAAGTGATTCGATTCTTATGATCCTCAAAGATTCCCCAAATGGGTGTGTGACAGAGTAGCAGCCCCAAAATGAGATTATGGATCTTAATAATTCATGTGCAATCATTAACTAGGAACAGTCACTTATGGCTCAGACTTAATGCAGATAGAGCTCAAGCACAAACGAAGTCCATTTAAAACTGAATATATATAGTTAATAAGAAGCCAAATCCAAAACATTTGCTCCATCATGAAGATCTGCTACAATGAATTCTGAATCGAGTTCGAAAAGTATGATTTAGATACTAAATGACTCGAAACTGAACAGATCCAGATCCGTTTACAATCGAACTAAACCTAATAACATCTCAAAATAAACAGTTTCTACTTACTGAACCTAATCACATCCCTCAAATCTAAACGAAACATTTCAGAGTCTCATTTCTGAGCCACGTCATCTTAGATCCAGTTACAATTAAGTTTAAATCTGAGAATCAAATACAACCCCGACGAATCGAGAGAACTAAATACTCGAAAACAGACGAATCGATACAGAAACGAAGAGGAAGGAGAAGAGGAGCGGTACCTTCGGCGATTCAGATCTGAGATCTCTGACTTATGCCTCGAAGCTAAATCTTATACCGAAGGAAACGACTCGGGACGATTTGTGGCTCTAAACGTCGTTCCTATATATAGGGATTAAACGGTACTGTTGACTGGCTACCCGATCTGTAGGTTAACGCAGCTGCTCTTTGCTTTGGACTTTTTAGACTTCATCATGTTATACTTATTCGGCTTATTCGGCTTATTCGGCTTACCTCTATTTTTTTTATCAAACCTCTACAGTTGTTTCATGAGTTTATTTGCCAGATAGCTAGAAAAAAAAAGAAATTAAAATTTTAGGAGAGAGAGATAGAAAGAGAAAGTAAGAGAGAGAAGGGAATTTTAGTTATTTTGTGAATTTGTATTTTTCTTATGTCTACAGGGTACAATTTCTAAACATCTACAAATTTTTAGTATTCTTTTGTCAATATTTAAACAAAACAAAAAAGAAACTTCAAATCAACCTAGTTATAAATAACTGTGTTACTCCAGTTTACTCTAATTTTACCAATAAAACATATAAAAATATTATTTTCATTGCTGAAATGTCTTTAAATTTATGATGTCCCAAACAGTTTGGTAGACAAAAGTTGAGATTTAAATTAAAATAGATTAAACAAAAGTTGAAGGTTATTTGAGTTCTTTTGTGTAAATTGAAGTGTTTTAAATATTTTCTCTTTAATATTTACTGACTAAGGAGATTATCAACCTAATAGTTGAAAGATCATTTATCCAAAAAAAAGAAGCTTATAAACATCAAAATTCAAAAAATAATGTAAATTTTGTATAAGTATTTTGAGTAATAGAGATAAATTTCATTTGTGCGACTTTCCATAGCAAAAACATGCATCTTGATCCATGCGACAACACATGTTTTATTTAAAATTGATTAAACAAATGTTTATAAAGTTATTTAGTGTTAAGAGAGATTTTAGTTGTAATATTTATCTTATGTGGTTTAATTAATATTGTTATATTTTGTCTAGTTTATATTGCTAATAGTTTGGTTCATATTATAATCACTTTCTATTTTATGTTTATAATTAGCGTTAAACATTTATCTTCAGATAATATATATTTTTTAAAAAATCATAATTATTATTGTTATTATATTTGTTGTACAATGTAGTTATCTTCAGTGTATATGTATATATATAGATATGTATGTGTTATGTAATAGCTATTACTGAGTTATTATGTTACTTAAACAATCTAATATTTTATTAGATTATATATTAGTGCATAAAAATAACTGATGTTGCTGATATATATAAGTATGAATATATTTTTGTGTTAAAATATATCATATTAGTTACATTTCATAGAAATACTCTTATG